GGAATCTCTCCTCTCTGGCCCCCTCCCTTTCACCAAGCCAGTTGGTCCCCCAGGCAAGCCCAAGGCAAGGTGGTCTAAATCATTCAGCCCCCACCTGAAGAGAAAGAGAATTACAGAACGTCCGAGTGGGTTGGGCCTTCGCCACTTGATCATTCAACCTCTCTTTCCTCCTCCATTCTCCAGATGGGGAGACTGAGGCCCAAAGAGTAAATACAATGCGGTCCAAGCTGTAGAGTAGAGGCAGGAACAGAGCTCAGGTCTTCTGATGTCCAGCTCAGTGGGTTTTCTACTATCCAATGATTGCAGGATGGATAATAAGGACAAAAAAAAACACACAAAGTTAGTTGAACTCTTCAATTGTTAAACCATCACAAATGAAATCTCCTTTTCACTCGGTGTCTCCTCCAATTCATAGCTTGTGGTGGTTTTACCTCTTACTTGGGGAAAAAAGACTGAGCTGAGTGGAGTAAGGAGCCCTTGGGGGAGTTAGGTCCTCACCCCTCCCTAGAGGAGCTTCAGCCCTCTCCATCAGCCCATCTGAGCTGTGACATCAGACAGCGTTCACAATTCCAGACAAATCTCCAGCCTTGTTTATTGTGAAGCTGTCTTATCTGCCCAATGGGATTGAGAGCGGAGCCTGAGTTTCACATTTATTCATTTACAGCAAATAATTATTAAGCTCCCACTAGGTGCCAGTTACTCAGCTAGTCTAAGATACAGTCCCTGTCCTCCAGGAGCTCACAGGAGAGAGAGAGAGAAAAAAAAAAAAAAAAACAGCAGGCAAGCACGAGCTTCCCTGGAAGGGTTTGAGTCCTCCCACATGAGTGAGTGATCCTGGGACAGGAATTTTTCTTAAAGCGATTTTTCTTTATGAGAAAGAAATCAGGAGCTCTGTGATCAACTAGAATGAAAGGAATTCTACTGGCCCCAAGAGTGAAGGTGATTTGGAGAAGGGGTTGTTTCTTTCCTACAATCCCTAAAACTACATCACAAGGACTTTATTCCAAGTAACACTAGAACTGTAACCCTGTCCTCAGAAATCCACGGTCAGGGAAACAAACCCATCACCAGCCAGTGTGGTCCTTCCTCCAATATCTACAGTCCCTGGGCCCCAGTCAGGAGGTACGGGCAAGGTTGGTTGAATCTCCCCATTGCAAATGGGTGATCCTCCTGACTCTCTTCGCTTGCCTAGCCCTTCTCCAGTGCCGCTTTCCAAATCCTTTCCCTCCCACCTCCCCCATTCTTTGCTGAGGACCTGACCTCCTGCTCTCCTATCCCCCAAAATTCAATTATATATATAGTGAGCACTTCTGACCAGCCTGTCCACAGTCTTGCTCCATCGAGCAGCCACCAGAGCCCTCTCTCTTGCTTCCTCAGTTTCTCCTCCTTGTCTTTGGACATGCTCCAGGCTGCACTCTAGAGCTTCTCCCCAACCTCCCCTACCCCTTCTAGCAACTTCTCAAGATACAAATATAAGATCTTCTCTTACTGCCCCCACTTCATTGCAAATGTTCACACCTCAATCCAATTTAATTCAACATATATTTGTTCAAGTCCCTACTAAGTATCAGATGCTGTATTGGGTGTGTCTGGGGATAACATATACCTGATTCCTCTTTACTTGGCTTCTGCCATCATAATTTGACCCAAGTGGTCTTCCTGTGGTCCTCAATGACCTCCGAAATACCGAATTCAGGACCACATGCCTCAAATCCATCTTGAAACAATGCAAGCTAAAAATACATACATACATACATACATACATACATGGGAGTCAAGGTCATGGCACCTGGCACATAATGGGTGTTCAATGAACACATTGATCTTTTCTTGCTTTTCTTCCTCTTCTCCCTCTCTTATTTTTAATTCTATGGCCACTCCTTTCTTTCCAAACCTCTCTTCTCTCACAGTTTCTATGGCATTACATGTGTCTGAGCTCCTCCATCTTAGGTCAGATTCCCAAGAAAACAGGCTGAGACAGAGATTTGCTGGAGACAGTTTACTGGGGAGTTTACATGATGTTATAATGTTCATGGTTTTTCAACCCCCTGGATCATACATTTCCTCTCCAGCCATCACCTGCAATGCTTTCTCCACATGCCCAGAGAAACTTCTTGAAGAGTTGTCTATAGTTGCTGTCTCCTCTACTCCAACTCCCCTTCTCTCCTCTACCCACTGCCAGGTGAGCCCTCACTGTCTCCATTCCGTGGGAACCACTATGGTGAGGCTCCTCAGTATGGCCAGGTTCATTGGCCACGTTTCTGTCCCCATCATAACTAATTACTCACAGCATCAACACAGCTGAGCCTTCTTTCTCTTCTGTCCATGTCACCGCACCTTCCTCACTTTCCTCCTACCTCAGACAGCTGTCCTTGGTCTCCTTCTTTGGCTTCTCTTGGCTCCCTCACTGAACCTCTGCATGGTGGAGGGGCCCCAGGCTCACTCCCAGAGCCTCCGCCATTCTTCACGTACACTGCCTGCCTAAGTGATCTCACCCGTTCCCACGACAGCAAAGGCCAAGTATATGGTGACGATTCCCAAATCTGAGGCTCAGTCCTGAGCTCCCCTTTGAACGCCAAGCTTATATATAATCTGCCTATTCAACATACCTTCTTTTGAACAGCCAATAGGCATCTCAGACTTAAGATATCCAAATCGAATACTTGATTCCCCATCACACGTGCGCACACACACACACACACACCTTTTCCCCTCCCAGTTCCTCCCAACTCATTAAATGGCTACACCACCCATGCTATTGCTCACACCAAAACTTTAGTGTTGTCCCTGATTTCTCTCTTTCTCTAGCCCAAGATCTAATCCATCAATATGCCCTGGAAACTTCCATCCAAATCGTATTCCATGGTCAGCCCTGTAACTTCTCCCTATAAACAACTTCACCAGAATGACAGGAGAGAAGGAGTCTGGTGGCCTAAGGCTCACCTCCCACCGCTAAAGGAATTTGATTCTCTTTCCTACTTCCAGTGCAAAAAAAATTCCAGAGAGAGGCCCCAGTAGGTTCAGTTCAAATCTGGAACCTCCTCATCTCCTTGGATCAATCCAGCTCCCATTATAACTACTTGGTGGGTATGTGGGAAGCATGGTTTCCAAAAGGAGGGGAGTGTTTGCCCCAAAAAAGAGGTGGTGCTGGGCAAATAAATCAGTAAGTGCCCACCTCATTCAATTAGAGCAGCAACCACCGTGTATTCTAAGTCACGTACAAGCCTGTCTGCATCCCCCACCTCACAAGATGAGGAGGTACTTCCAGACGGAGACCATGTCTCCATTGGCTCTGCAGCCCCACTGCCTAGTACAGTGCCTGGCAGGATGCGTACGCTTAATAAGTGTGAAGATGAATGAATGATATTGCTAGCAAGCGTGATGAAGCCGCTCTACAGTAAGAAAGATCACCCAGAGCTAGAAAGACTGGGAAAAAATTTTGGAGATTATAAGAGTGAATTTAGATGTTGAAGAACCAGTAAAAATCACAGAAACTGTGAGCCAGCCCCAGTGGTCTAGTGGTTAAGATTCAGCGCTCTCACCACGGCCCGGGTTCGTTTTCCCATCATGGAACCACACCACCCATCTGTCAGTTGTCATGCTGTGGTGGCAGCTCACATAGAGAACTAAACTAACAACTAGGATGCACAACCACGCACTGAAGCTTAAAAAAAGAAAATAGAGATATTGATTGAAATCACGGACAAGAGGAAGAGACCCTGAGCAAAACCAGAGATAGGCGCGTATGGGGAGTGTGGAGACAGGAAGTAGACCAACCTGAAAGAAGCAAGGTGGGTGGGCTGACAGAGTAATGGAGGCAGGGCTGGCTTCACAGTGGGGGTGTGCCCAGTGCAGTTGCATGGGGCCGCATGCTCAGAAGGAGGACCAGTGCTTGGGGTTTAATGCTTACGGTCACCATCTTGAAATCCTTAATAATTTTATGTTTGAATCTGTGTTTTGTAAACGAAGTTCAATGAACCCATGGAGCAGGCACCAGGGGCCTGGAACCTCAACTTACGCTCAATGCCCAACTCACCACCCCCCTGTTTCCCTGGGATGGGCTGTCAGCCACCTGTTTCCCCACCCCTACCTAAGGACCGCTGCCTCCTCCATCCTGTGAGGGGTTGGTTGGGGGGCTGGGGGGCTGGGGGCCTGGATGCAGATGCAAGGAGGGTCGCGGTCAGGCACATGCACCCTGGCACAAAGTCAAAGGGTGGGCCCTGGGTCCCTGCGAGGGTCCACACTCACCCTGTTAGTCTCCCTGTGCCTGAGGGAACACAACCTTAAATAGCACATAGAAAATGCCCTGAGAGAGAGACTGTGGGATAAAAGAAAAGGCTTTTTCCTGTTTTTTGAACAAGGAGCCCCACATTTTCATTTTGCACTGGGCCCCGCAAATAATGTAGCCGCCCCTGAGTGGACATGAGGCCAGACAGATGGGCCGGAAACAGATTGTAAAGGGCACACCGCTGTGGAGTTCTGTCTTTACTTTGAAGACCAGGGTTGGCAAACTTTTTCTGTAAAGGGTAAATAATTTTAGGCCTTGTGGGCCACACGGTCTCTGTTGCAACTACCCAACTCTGCCATTATAGCGCAAAAGCAGCCATAGACGGTCCCTAAACCAATGGGCGGGGCTGTGTTCTGATAAAACTTTATTTACAAAAGCAATCCGTGGGCCGGATTTGGCCGGCAAGCCATAGTTCACCGTTCCCTATTGCAGACAAGAGGGAATCCTTGAAGGTATCTAAGCAGCAGAAAGGACAATCAGAGGAGTTTCTAGAAGGTTATCCTGGCCTCACTGTCCAGGATGGATGGGAGGGGGTCAGCCTCGGGGCAGAGTTTCTAGGAAAAAGAATAGTGCAAAATCCAAGCACAAGGAGCCGGTGGCCAAGACTCGGTGGCGGCAGCAGGGGTTGAAAGGGCACAACAATGCATCCCAAAGCGTAACCGAGGCACCAACACCAAGGCCACTAACGTAGCTTGGACCCTCTTCCATCCAGGGGAGAGGAAGAGCAAGCGGAGAGTCCGAACCACCTTCACCACAGAGCAGCTGCAGGAGCTGGAGAAGATCTTCCACTTCACCCACTACCCGGACGTCCACATCCGCAACCAGCTGGCAGCCAGGATCAACCTCCCAGAAGCTCGTGTGCAGGTACAGCCGCCCCGACTCTCAGCCCCCGCTAATGCACTTGGGGCCATGGTGAGACATCATGGATCCTCCGGGTTGCCCCACCTGAAATTTTACGTTGGCTTTATCCCATAAGTACAGCCGTGTTCACAAAATATTATGTTCCGGGAAATGAGGTCCCCATAGTTACAAAATGGTTTCTCTCCTCGGGGGGCGGAAACGGAGGGAAGGGGCATCAGTGATGGCCATTGATATCTGCTTCTACTCGCTTCTTGTCCATCTAGCTACAGTTCCAGAACATCGTTCACCATGCAGCCTCATTCACAAAATAGGTCTTGACAATCTAGACCAGGAGTCGACAAGCTTTCTGTAAGGGGCCAGATGGTAATTACGTTAGGCTTTGTGGAACCATACGGTCAGTGTCGCAACTATTCAACTCTGCCGTTGGAGCATAAAAGCAGCCGTGGTTTACAATGTGTAAACAAACGAGCATGGTGGTGTTCCAGCAAAACTCTATTGATGAACACTAAAATTTGAATTTTGTTTAATTTGCATGTGTCACAAAATATTATTCTTCTTTTGATTTTTTTTTTCCCCAACCGTTTAAAAATGTGAAAACCATTCATAGCTCATGGGTCAGGCTAAAACAGATGGAAGGCCAGATTTAGCCCACAGACCCTGTTGGCCAATCCCTGGTCTAGACCACATGGGTATCCCTTTGAGGCAGCACGGAGCTGTGGAAAGGACCGGGATCCACGGTCAGAGACCTGGTTTAAGCACCCGCTGCCTAATCTGTATCTGTAATGTCTTCACTCTGGGGTCTCTCTCGCTTCATCTGTGGTTAGAAACGTAGCGGCCTTTCATCAATCACCAGGCATACACCCTCTTCGCACATCCCCGATTTTGCAAATATCACTCTGGCAGATCCAAATCCACCAGCTGCACTGTTGGACTCTCTCTAGAACAATTTTCTAAGTCACTCTTCATGTTTCTGTTTGTTTGTTTTAGCAAATGTGATGGACTCATTCGAATTCAAAATCTGAGCCAGGGCCCAGGTCAACATCCCACTCTTGATTTCATCTCCACCTCCTTTTCCTCTGGCTAAGGACCACCCCTGTCTTTGACTTCTCCCCTTCTTCTTCCCGTTTGGAATCAGTCACCGGCCAAGTGGGTGCCACTTCCGTCTGCTGTAAAGCCCAGAATTCAGCGGCTGCCTCCGCACAATGAGCTGGTACAAGTGGCCACTGCTCGGGGCCGATCAGGGCGCTCAGGAACACAGGAAGCATCAATGTTCAACCTATAGATGCCAAGGGGCCCACAGGGGTTGCAAACTTGTGGTCTGCCGGCAGGAAACAGCCCAGGGTGGTTTTATTTGGTCTACACAGAAAACTCAGAGCTGTCACATAAAAATCAAGATTTCTGCCTTGGAAATTGGATGAGCCTGCCATGTTGGGCTCACATTTCCAGTGGTGACTGTTGGCGGAAGCTGAGAAGCTGGCCGCTTTAGGCTCTGTACACCACAGACCCCACCACTCCCAATTCTGTAGCAGCCCGCTGCTTCACCACACATAAGCGCCGGCCCTGTAGGTACTGAAGGTTGTGATCCCTGGCCCCCTCTTGGAAGGCTCACCTCCAAAGTCAGAGAAATCAAGGATGTCGTGGAGCTTGCTGGACTGTGAAGGGAAGGTCCCTTCGAAGGTGCCACTTTTCTGCATTTGGGGGTGGTACTAGATGGAGAAGAAAAGCCTTTTGCTTATCTCCATCCTCTGTCGTCCTCATCCCAGATCTGGTTCCAGAACCAGCGAGCCAAGTGGCGGAAGCAGGAGAAGATCAGCAGCCTGGGGGCTCCGCAGAAGCTGAGTGAGGCCAACATGGCCCCGGTCACAAATCTGGACGTGGCTGTGAGTGGCTGGGGGGTCCAACGGGGCTGGGGGAGCCATTGTTTGGGAACAACCCACCCAGGCCCAGATGTGAGGAAACGTCTCCGGGGCTCTGTCTACGTAAAACGTGCAAGGGGAATTGTTTTAGAAAGAGCGTTGACAAGGAAGCTCTGGAGGTCTATGGGACCTGGGACAAGTCACTCTCTCTCTCTGTCCCTGTGTCCTCACCTGCTGAGTGACAATCACAGTGCCTCTCCCTCCTCCAGGGACCGGCTTGTATTGCTTGTGCCGAGTTTCACAGTTCCTGGAACAGGGTCACGGAGTAAAGGGCAGGGCACGGAGGTGGAGCATGTCCACTCTGGAGTCAGACTGCCCGGGTGAGCAGCAGGGCTGCCTGGAAGACTCACTGTGCCCCTCAGAGGACAGTGACAGTTTTGATGAGGATGAAATGACTGAGAGGTGAAGGAAACTTGGCACCTTGGAAGTGCTCCCTGAGAGTTAGCTGTCCGCTGAGTCAACAAGGATTTGGAGCATGTATCGGATGCTAAACTCTGGGGAGAGAGCGGTACACAAAATAGAGAGTCCTGTGGTTAGAGGTTGATGGGTACCCACAGTGATGCTGTGAGGCAGGATTTTTCGTTCATCCCTTTTTGCCAATGCAGAAACTGGGCTTGGAGAAGCAAAATGACTTTTGCATATCAAACAATTGCTGTAAATGCCGGGGTGAAGACCGAGTTTCTTGGCCCCCAAGGCACGCGCTTCTACCCAGGTAGGTCCCCCTGCCCACCCAGAGCTGCCCAAGTCATGGGGAGGGGTTGGGAAGCTGCGGGACTGCCGCGGATAAGCCTAGGGCTCACTTCTCTCTCCTGACCTCTCCTCATGACAGGGCCCCCTGCTGCCGCCCCCTGCGCTGCCCACGCTGGCTCCTCCCGTGGGGTGTTATCCTCCCGCTCAAGGTCAGCTGGCCTCTGCCTGGTTCCCTGCCCGGGTCACCCTCCTGCCACACCACCCATGGGACCCCCATCCTCTCGCGAGCCCACTCATCCAACAGACCTGCATCCTGGTACTCCGATTCCTTCCACCGCCACACCCCAAGTGGGGCAGCATCTGTGCCACTTCAACATAGGGACCAGACGGATATCCTCTGCCCAACGGAGCTGCTCTCCTCCCCAGGTGAAGGAAGGTGGTGACAAGGTGCCCCAGGCCTCTGGGGGAATCAATCTCACCATCCAAAGATGGCCCACAGCCCCCAAAGCCACCCTGAGCATGCCCCTTGGAAGGTGGCATCAGACTCAGCAGCAAGGTGACCAACTAGGGAGCTCCCGTCTCTCCTGGCCAATGTTGCCCTCCGGCTCAGATGACAGAGGCTGTGTGAGATCTCAGAACAAGCTCTGGAACAAGGAGGTTGTCCTCTTATACACGTGCTTCCTCTAACTTGCTGTGTGACCTCCAGCTGGTCACTCGCCCCCTCTGGACTTCCTCTGGAACACGAGGCAGTTGGACAAGATGACTTTTGAGGGCCCTTCTGGCCCTGACTGTGGTGAAGTGGACCATGGTGAGAACAGAGGGACAGAGGGGACCAAGGAGGGCTGTTTGTCCATTTGTTCATGGCGCACTTATTGAGCACCTACTGATTGCTCCATAAATGGAACTGGATCTCGAGATGAACAACTGGGTGGGCAACGGAGCTCAGCCCAGGGGGTCAAAGGGACAGTGCTGACCTTCCCCTGCAAAGAGAACATTCACCCAATGACCTTGCCGTTGGCCCAAGTCTAAAACACGCTGTGTGGCTTTGACATGAATGATCTAAAGTGGGAGAGGAATATAGGGAAAAAATGTGTTTTAATTTAAATAGAATTTGGCGCTTTGGTTATTCTGCTGGATTAGGGAGAGATGTTGTCATTTCTGATCTGAATGAAAAGTAAGACAGTAAGCTCTTTTCAGAGTTTATCTTCCCAGGACTTGTGCAAGGGGCCCAGGGAGAAGGCCAGCCTCTCACTCTGTCCTGGAAAGCCCAGGGTTTCGTGTGACTCTGCTGTTTCCTTGCGGCGAGACCTCGGGCAAACCGCAGACGCTGTGGGCACCTCAGTTTTCACATCTGTAAAATGGAGGTGGTGCCGCCCACCTGGCCTGCCTCACAAAGTGACCAGGAGGCTCTGAAAGGAAGCAAGAGGGCTGTGCAAGGTGTGAGGGCTGGGCCCGCTGTGGGGCGATGCTGTTGCTCCCAGAGGCCACCAGGGAAGTGGCTGCCTTGGATCCCAGCCCTGGGGTAAGTCGCTCCTGCTCATGCAGGGTCGGCTGCTGAACGCCCGTCTGCGTCGGTATCTCTGGGACCCTCGAGTTATCTGGAAAGCGTTTAGAGATACAGTAACATTTCTTTAATATCCGTTGACCTTTAATAGTTCAAAGCCTTCTTCTTAAAAGGCGGAACAAGCCATAGACGGTGAGCAAAGAGCAGAAATAAGAGATTCACAGGAAAAGCATACAGACGGATACTAAACATATGAAACCCTTCTCAATCCCCTCCATGATCTAAAAAGTAAATAAAACAGTAATAAAATACGTTCTTTTACCTTTCAGATTGGCAAATATTTCGAAGTGTTGGCGAGGGGTTGATGAAGTACTCACTCTCATATATAAGGACGGATGAGTTAGCAAATCATTTTAGAAGATAATTTGACAATTATTAATATTCTGAATGCAAATGTTTTTGACCCAGTAATTCTATTTGCAAGAATTTATCTGATAAATACACATGTATGTAAATAGGGTATACGAAAACGTTCGTCGAGACTCGGTGACAGCAAAAACTGGAAACCACCTGATTAGGACACAGTTGAGCTGACTATAGCATATTCACCCAGCTGTTAGAAATAATGAGAGTGATTGAAACATACCTGATGGGAAATTGTCACTGGACACGTCTTTAAATGGAAAAAGCAAGTTACAGAACAGTAGTATGGTCTCATTTGAGTAAGAAAGGGATAAGATATCTTCGTATACAAAAACTTTATCTATATGCTGACGGTTTCTGCATAAGTTAGCTTTTGCTCCATAACAAATCACTCCCAAACTTAGTTGCTTGAAACAAGGATTTCTTTGGCTCACGTCTCTGGCTTGACTGGGTTCGTCATCTGATCTGGGCCAACTTGGCTGATCCCAGCTGGACCTGCACGTGTGTCTGTGGTCAGCTGGTCAGTTGATGGCCACTGGGCTATCTAGGATGGGCTCACTCCCAGGTCTGGGTTTGGCAGGCTGTTAGCTGGGGCGACAGGGTGATTGGGCCACGTGTCTCTCGCTAGGCTTCCTCCTATGGTCACAGGATATCCAAGAGCACAAAAGCAGAAGGTACAAGGGCTCCTGAGCCCTCGACTCAGAATTCACTCGTCACTCCTGCTACTTTCTATTGGTCAAAGGAAGATTTGACTGTTGGTGGAGGCCAGCCCAGATTGTGGGAAGATAGACTCCTCTTGACGAGAAGAGCTGCAGAGTGCGTGGCCGTGGTTATAATCTGCCATGACTCTCGAAAGTGTATCTCATCCACGTCTCTTTCTTGAATTCTCTCGACACCTCCACTTGAACGTCCAATAGGCATCTCAAGCTTAACACGTCTAAAAGCAAACTCTTCTGTCCACCCGGACCTGCCTCCTCCTGCCTCAGACTCCCTTCTCAGCAGATGGCAGCGCCTTTCTTCTAGTTGCTCAGACTGGATTCCTCAGAGTGCTCTTGAGGACTTTCTTTCCTAATGGAGTGGCAAGTCCAGCGTTAAATGCCACCTCCTTGTTGCCAGCCACGATCATCTCCCCGCCGTCTCCCTGGGTCCACTGCTCCCCATCCGTGCTCTATTCTTCACTCGACAGCCAGAGAGATCCTGGGTGAATGTGAGTCAGACCATGAATCTCAAAACTCTCAAGTTCTTTTCTGTCTCACTTGAAATAAAGTGTAAGTCTTCCCCACGGAGGACCAACATAGAAGGTCCGGGGGCTCCTACTGCTTCCCCCAGGGTGCCCTGCCCCAGCCATGCTGGCCTCCTCCCAGCGGCAGCTCCAAGGTGCCAAGCACAATCCTGCCCCAGGGCTTTTGCACTGACTGTCACTCTGCCTGACACATCCTTCTCTAGCTATTCGCCTGGGTTGCTCCCTCACTTCCTCCTGGTCGCCACTCACATGGTACCCTAGAGCCGTCCCTCACAGACCATCCTATCTAAGTCACCATGCACATCCATATTCTGTCACTCCCCAGCCCCATACCGCATTTTATTCTTTTCATGGCGTTCATCAACACCTGACATATTGTACATTTATTTATTTATTGTCTATCGCCCAGCACTGGAACAAAAGCTCCATGAAGTCAGGGTCTTATCTGATTCAAACACAGCTATGTTCCCAATAACCAAAACAGGGCCTGGCACATAGCAGGCACTCAGTATTTGGTACACGTGGGCGTGCACACATACACACGTGCACACACGTGTCTATATTTTCCCAGGAAGTTCTTAGACAGATACACAAAAAACCCAACAGCAATTCCTTCCAGAGAGTGGGCGGGTGGTATGGAGATGAATGGAGAGAAATGTTTGTTTTTCTTGCTGCCCTGCAGTGTTTGAATTTTCTGCCACAACTATATAATTTTATAAATTAAGATGTTAATAAATAACAATGAATGTTTTCTCTCACTTCTCTTGTGCTTTGCAATTTTGCTAGCAAAGAAAATGTTTTCCTGCCTCCTGTGGTGCTGAAGGGGTCCCCTGTGGGGAGGCGGGTCACCCAACGAGCCACTGCTGGAAAGCACAGGAGGGAGAAGGGAGGGCTGGAAAGCTTTCTCCAGGGGCAGTGGGGGCAGACGCAGGGGACAAGGAGAAGGGGACAGAGAGCTGTGGGTCTCCAAGCAAAGGAGATCAGGTCCATTCACAGGGAAAACAACACGCAAAGCAGGTGGGTCCAGAATCAGATAAGAGAAGCTGCCTGGCCAAGGGTTGTTAGCGGTAGGATGGATTGTTAAAGAAATCTCCAGGGGAATACATGCAGAAGACGGTCAGGTGGAAAACACCCCTTATAGCAGTTAGGCAAGAAGGTGAGTCGCTGCCTTGCTGTCTAGGAAGAGGGCTGATCCACATGTAAGCAGTGGCAGCGGCTGAGTGAAATCTTCTAATAAATGTGTGAACCTGGTATTACGGGAGATCTAAGGATGAGGCGCCAGAGGCCTGGGTTCTAGCGTCCTGTTCATAAGTGGACCATCTGCAGAACCCCTCAAAATACTGGATTCTCTTTGACAAGGTTGGAGCCCCGGCTCCGTGCTCAGAGCTTTTATTTCGGTCTACCTGGCCCCACCTGATCACCAAGTCTGGGCTCCTGCGATGGAAGAGGCAGCTCCAGTAACTGAAAAAGTCTGGGGCGGGGGTGGGGCAGGATGTAAAGCTCAGTTACGTCTCCAGGCCTCGTTCCCATCTCTCCACTCTGCCTTCGTCTGCATCAGCCAGACTCAGGTTCCCATCTCGCCAACTTCACGCCGAGGGAAAGAGACTCTCTCTTTCCAAGGCTTATTGCAAAGCGCTGGGCCTGAGTGCCATCGGCCATCCCTGAGGCACATGCCATCCCTCGATCCATCCATCCCCAGGGCTGGGGTGGGGGTACAACATCCTACGGCTGGGTTACAGAGCACCCCAGTGTGCAGCCAGAGGTAAATTCAGGTCTGCCAAAACCACATGGATTGAGAGTGAAGTTACAGGGGAATCCCCTGGAAAAATTAGGATGCTGGTACCAGAAGAAAGGGAAATGGATTCTGGGTTGACAAACAACCGGTGTTCACTCCAGAACTCAAAGTGTTACCTATTTAGACCACATAGGAATGCTTTCAGCTGCAAGAAATAGAAGACCAAACCTACAGTGGCTTACACAAATATAGGTTTAAGTTTGTCACATACTAAGAAACCTAGAGGTAGAGCCAGCACGATTCTCTTGACCTTGACCTTGGCCACACAGTGGTTGCTTCAGCCCCAGCTATCACATCTGCATTCAACTTAGGAAGAAGCGAAGAAGGCAGTGTCAGTGACATCTGTCTTTACTATCACGCAAAAACAAAGCTCTCCCAGAACCCTCCAGTAGACTTCTACTTAAGACTCTTTATCTAAGACTTGTCACAAAGCCACACCTAGACGTAAGGGAAGATGAGAAAGCAAGAATTTAGGTTTTCCAAGCATCTTTAGCGGAGGCTGGCAATGGAGGAGGAGGTGGGGAATGCACGTCTGGTAATCCAAACGATTGTGTCTGCCATGCAGGCAGAGTGGCAGTGACTTGCTGGGGTGACAGGTCAGAAAGCACAGAGCTGGGGCTTGACCTCAGGCCTCTTGCATCCAGAGCCACAACCTGCCCTCCTTTCCATGCTTTCTCTAAAACCCAGGCTGGGAGCCAAGAGCAACCAAATAAACAAATTATTTTTCTTTTACGCAAAGGAGGAGCATCACTAATTAAAAGATAACAAACCCCAAGAAGATGGAGACATGAGCGGCAGGTTGTCTGCTCCTCCCTCGTTCTCCCCTCCCGGGGCCCTGGTCAGACCTGCCCTATTCCAGCATGGGTCTCCAGGTGCTCTTTATTCAGACTTTCACGGTACAGAATAAACTCCTGATCGGAGTTTATTCAGAGAGCCTGAGCTTGCTCCCACCCCATCGTGTGTGGCAGGGACCAATTTGCTCCCGGTCCTCTGACATTCAGTGTCCTCATATGAAATAACACTGGCCAAGACGACCCTTGAGATGTCTTCCGGTGCGGATATTTTTCAGTCCTCAGAAAACCAGGGTCTGAGCCTGGACTCGTTGCCTGAGTTCCCAGGAGACATTGACTCACTTCCTCTCTGGGCCCCAGGGTCTTGGTCAGAAACGAGCTCAAATGAGCACTGACCCCATTGCCGCCCAGAAGGGCGGAGATCAGGATTAATGAGGGTGGCTTGCCCGAGCCTCAGGCTCTGCAGACAAAGGTTCTAAACGGAAGCTATTACAAATCTTTCTCTGGGGTCGCAGATGACAGAATGTCGCCCTCGGGGCTGAGTCGCTCCAGCTGATTGTCTGGTTCCTGGATCTGGAGTTAAATGCAGTGGAAGAGCGGGAGGAACCGGCTCCATCACGCAATAGGTTTTGTCCACTTCTTACAACAGAGCCCTGCCCATTGGGATCATCTTACGAAGCTGTTGAGTCTGGGGGTATGCGTGCATGTGTGTGCGTGTGCACACATGCGTGTGCTTGTGTATGTGTGTGTGTCAGAGAGAAAGATCTCAAATCACAATTGATCTTCACTGTTTCTCCTCCATGCCAGGCATGTTCCAGCTTTAGGGGAGCCACCAACTGACCTTGAGTCTGACAATGGAATGGGTAATCTCCAGGATCCAACAAGGGTTCATCCACCCCAGAGACACTTACGGGGTCCTCTTCTGGGTGCCAGAGAAACAAAGACACAGTCCCTGGCCTCAAGAGTAGACAGTCTAGCAGGAGGGGACAGACACTTACGCAGAGCATTAGGACCTGGGGGAATATGAATCCTATGAAGCCAGGTGGGAGCATTATACAGAGGTGACTCAATCTGCCCAGGAAACCAGAGAAGGCTTCCCAGAGGAGGCAGCATTTAGCTTGGGCCTTGAAGGATGAGTAGGAGTTTGAGAGGTGAGGAAGTAGGAGAAAGAACACTCTGGCTGAAGGAATGGTTGTATAAATGGAAACAGCGATGGATTTGCTGAAATACTATAAAGATTAAGCTTCAGGGCCCCTCACTTGCACAGGGCTCTTCTAAGATCTCCAGGTTGAATTTGACATCTGCAATTTTGCATTTTCTTGTTTTTAAAACAAATTACATAAACTTTAGGCTCCACAAAACCTGAACCTGCCCCTGAATCTAAGGCATGGCACATGAACACAGGACTAAGGATGTCTGGGGCTGTATTTTTCTTCTATGCCAAGCTAGATCCCAAAATCTTCTTTGGGATAATCCGGTGGGGGCCACCTACACAGTCCAGATACCTATTCAGACAGTACCAGAATGGGTTCTGTAATCTGAGACAACAAAATGATGGGCTGCAGATGGCAGAACCCACAAGCCACCTGGAAAGAGAACTCAATGGAGCTTTCTCAGCAAACTTGGACTCAGCAAATTGTCAGGGACAGGCTGCATTTCCTAATAGCCATGTCACCCTGTTTGTACTAAAGCTCTGGTGAGGATCCTCAAAGCAGTGTGACCAAGGGACAGACTTGGTCCAGTTTCGCTTGCTGTGTGTGTCCCATGCCGTGTTCAAACCAGGCTATTGCATCTGGGGTCTCCATTCCTTGCTTCCAAACCCGCCAGAGCACGTCTGGATCTTCCTTGGTTCATTTGCTGAAGTTGAAGCCTTGAGGCTGTATCGATGGATTTCAAGAGAACACTTTGCTCTGAGATGCTCCAAAGAAGGTCGGCCCTCTGCTGTCCCTGTTCACGGAGCAGCTGGATGCGGACAGCCATCTGCCTGTCTCTCTAACCACAGCACTCTGTACCCACATCTGTGCTCTCAGCCACTCGAATCCCTCCACATCAGCGTTCAGCGTTCCGCATTCCCAGAGCAAGATTTCCAAGAAGACAAGCACAGGATCTAAGTGCTTACGGAGCCTCTGCTGACATCACTTGCTAAGGTCTCATTGGCCAAAGAAAGTCGCATGGCCACACTCAGGGCCCATGTGGGCGGGGACTACACAATCAAGTGAAGACCAGAAGTGTGTTCACCAGGTCGCCCGTGTAACAGGCTACCCCACGGTACGTGACCGCCAGCAACTTAATTCAAAAAAGGAAATTTCTCTGTTCTTCATTTTCCTCATCCACAAAGCGAGGGAGCTAAGATCAGTGCTCTCGGCAGTCCCTTCTCTTATCAGCCTTCCTAGAATGACAAAACCACAAGGGAAATGAAGCTCGAAGAGTCAGCTAAAACAAGATGAAATTTCACTTTGAACACTATAAGATATATAAATATTACATATTTGTAATATATGTAAGGCTTATATGTATAAATATAATGTTCACTTGGGACCAGAAAACCAACGAGGAAAGTTCATGAAGAAAGAGAGGTAGCTTAGCAACAGCCCATGAGAAAAAGCTTTGGATAATTTATTCAACAGTGGGCTTGGTGGGAGGTAGCAGTGTGCCGCCGCCCTGAAGGAGGTAATGGGGCCTTCAGCTGTGTGAATAGAAGCATTAGGTATAGACTGAGGGAGGTGATACTCCTTCTCTATAATCCAGCCCCAGCTGGAGTGACGCCTTCCCTTCTTGCTGCTTCCTCTTAAGAGAGAAGTGTACACCAACTGGACTCTGTTCAGAAGAGATGACCTGTGGAGAGACCAGGCTGACACCGTCTGAACCCCCATCAGCCTTCGTGTCACTAAGACCAGAACATCACGCCACTGTGTGAATCCTGACATAAGCGGTGGCGGGCACACAGTTATCATCTGTGAATTGTTCTCGCCTAAAAAATTGAACTTGACTCCAATCATGCCCTAGACTTAACTACCTATTTACGGGAAATACAGAAGATAGAAGGACAAATTAAATACACGAAGAAGCAATCAGCCACATTCAGAATATGGGACAGTCAACAGAACAAATGATTCTGTTTCTCCAACAAATCTATGGCATGGAGAAAAAATGGGAAATGAACTATCGTAGA